TCGATGTTTTTGTTTCGTCTAAATGTGGAACGTCTTGGTTATTTATTTAAAAAACGGCATATTGATCTCTAACAGCAGCATATATTCAAAATTCACCGTATGAAGATGTCACATGCACTCAAAAGCAGAGCAAAGTAATATCCAATCATATTCTCTTTCTACTGAGCATGCACTAAAGTTATTTCTAGTTTCAAAAATGATAGTTCGATATTGTTTATACAAATCTCATTTATTATTCAAAAATGAATCTTGAGATAAAACCATCAATAACGTGTTCTTTGATTTTGATTTCTTGTAAACATACATCTTTACACCTTTTAATCAATTTGACTAAATGATAATTATTGAAATAAATTTTAGTATATAACGAACACATTTTATTAAAAACAATAACCGAGAAATAAATGTTTACATATTAAACGAGAATGAAACGAGCTGCATTATGATATGAGACTGAAAGGCCAACAGTCACTTCAAATGATTATTCATCAATTACTTATCGTGTTCTAAACGTCGATAAATCAATGATATTTTTGATGTTGTTATTTAACTACTGTTTTTCTTTTTGAACTACAACGACCACATTATACTTGTACATAAATGACATTATGAATAATACCTTAACTTTTACATCATCGGTACTATCTTCTTCCACTTTTTTGTTATTATTATCATCAAAAGTCATTTTATCAACCTGTTCTCTTTGATTGATTGATTATATTGTGTGACTTGAGTGGTCATAGAGATTTAACACGTCGAAAAGTACGAGTTGTTCGACTTTCTATCTTCACTTACATCTTCAACATTAAACAGATCGACTGTCTTAAAAATTCACCGTTGAAAAATTCGCTAATCTAAAAACTACTAAATATAGGTTCAGTTTGGTTTGTTCGCTAAGTAGAATAACCGTACTCTATGGGAAATAAACGAGAGATGAATGGACGAAGTCACCTTTAAGGAAAAGAATTGCTATCGATTGAGTCTCTTGTTCAATCAATAAAATTTTCGTTCCTTTTATCTCTCTGATTATACTATTTTATCAATGAGCCATATTCACATCCTGACGAGGTCGCTACATATAGATACTGTTTTCTTGCGTTCTGTCTATACAATACATGCAATCATACGGCCAGCTTTCAAGCCGTTTGACGGCCAACACATAGCGCCGTCACCAGGATGTGAATATGGCTCATTGATTCTTCATTACTAGAATGTCTTCTTACTCATTGCGAAGCAGCGCTTTTAATTATGAGTGTGCACAGAAGTAAAATGTACAATAAACTCCAAATTGTACCTACAAATTGCATGCGCATTCTGTTTTCCACCATATAGAGGCTTAAAAAAACAATTCCGGATCCGAATACGACCCTATGATTTTACACTTTGTTCGCTGTTCTAATTTGAACGTTGTGTTAAGAATATGCTCGTTTCGAGAATTATCACACTCATAATAAACAGTATACGTCTGAAGAAGAAAGATTGACCTTCAAATGCACTTCTGTCACATTTTACTCGGTTACTATTTCCTTCTTAATATACAGATTAGATAGTAGAATGTTTTTAAAATCATCAAGTGAAAATACTTTGATTTCAAAAGGTAAAAGGTAAAGGGCAAACAAACAAAAGAAAAATCCAATGAATGTCCTCACACAACACAACCGAGTAACATGCGACCAACTCAGATTTAATTCTAAACTAAATAGTACTTCGATTCAAACGAAGAGAGAAGTCAAAAGTTAGATTAATGTAACCGGTATTCTTTTGCTCGTTTATTATGAAAAGAGAAGAGGAAAGATTTGAATTAGTCGAAGAGAAAAAACGAATCAATAAACAAGAATAAAACTAAAAGCGGATAGAGGAAATCAGAGCATACACATGGTAGAATTAGACGAATGTTCTGTTTGTTTTCCTTTTCCTATGATTATTCCCTTTAAACGTTTTTGTCGTTAACTTTTCCTAGCCTGCAATTTCTGTGACATTATATGAAAAGTATATAGACTGTAACGATCATTCCCGATGCAAAATTTTGCTGATGAGTTGCTGCTGTCTGTGTTTGTTTTAGTCAAATTCTCTCTAAACCAATTTCACCGCATCACTGAGTGATTTGCGAATAGTTTCTGTTGCGTTCATTTTGATTCTTCTATAAAACTTTCTTCTTTTATAAACTTTAGTGGAAACCCGAAAGGAAAATTATCTCGTTACTTAAGTATTTGTGCTGCAGATCCTAAAAAGAGTAAGTTCCTCCTCAAAACTTGCCTTCGATTCCGTTGCTGGAAGGATGTCTTTCGATGAAGATCTGAATTTCTCTGCTCCTCCAATGAGTAGTGATTATGGTACGGGTTCCAGAATCATCAGAACCTATTACTGAACGGTCCGTTAAGAGTCTGTTAACCATTAGTTGTTCGTTAACTGATCAATTTTTAACGGCTATTTAAAGCTGATTGCTTTTACACCATTTTCAGAGACAATATGACTTGGTGGGTGTGTTGTTTGTCGCGTACTTTAAATATACCATGTCCGAACCTCCACGCCGACAGTTATGTAAAAACCTTTGGCAAGTTAATTACGTCTTAGTACCTCGGATCAACCGTCTGCGTCAGGCTAGCCTACTGACCAAAGCTACAGTTCAGCGGTACAGGTGACCATGTCCGAAGGTCGATATAAGCTTTATTATATTATGTAACGAAGAAGGTACTAGTTGTAGGGAATATATCGAGCTTCAGAAATAGACTACATCGGTACCCTATATCGGAAACAGTAGCCGCATAACAGATTATTCTTCCTTTCTTCTTTCAGACACTTTTTTATAGTGTTATTTGTTTGTTCGGAGATCAACGCTCGATCCTTCTTTTCTTTCAAATTTGATGTACATACATAAATTATTGTCTTTCGCTGAACATTGACCAGTAAAATTACTAATCAAAAATCGATATGAGCGGCAACATTGGCATTCGGTGAAAATGCACAATTTATTATCTTTAAGAGAGGTTTCTAAAGAGCGATAATTTTATTTGATGAAGTGAAACTGCTTGTCGTTTCAAAAATTTTGTACAGTTTATCTAAATACTATTTTAACCCTCTCACGCCATTTTCTTACGACTTGTGATATATACGGCATGTTTTCCAATGCAAATATCTGCATGAACGGTTTTTAAAAAGCTGTGGAAGATTGAGTGCCGAAAGTGTGCCATTGCTATGGCGATTTTTGTATGGTAGGTTATCTTGATCATTACTGCAAACTGATGAAAAAAAATCTCTTATTTCGTTTACCTTTTTTGTTTTAGAAAAACGCAATTGATTGGATGAGGATTTTAGAGAAATCCAGGCTCAAATCGAGATTTTCGAATCGCTCATGTTTATTAAACCGATAGAAAGTCTTCGATTGACCACCCAATCGTTTGTTTTTTGTCGGTGAAACAGCGTTAATGGGCGCTTTTTTCGCTAAGCAAGCGATGCTAATACAAATCCTACTCTGAGCATTTTTCCACCTTCTTTTTCACTTTTCTTCTGAATTTTGAACGCGAAGTCATTTGTGTACTGTGATACCATACCCATGGATTTTAGAACTCAACAGTGTTCTTTTGCTTGTTATACTCTCAGAGACAGTCTGAAAGATATTTTAGACTCAATCGCAGATCACATTTCAGTGAGTCAGGAAAAGATTTTCGAAGTTAATCAGCAAATCATGTTTTAATTATTGATTCAAAACGAATGTATTAATCTCAGTTTTTCTGAACACTACGGTCAAATGAGGGTTATTCGGCAAGATGCGGCTGATATAAGCTTTATTCTGTCAAAATACAAGCGAGAAAATATCCGTTATAGTATTCTAAACTGAAACTATCGAAAGGTACAAAATCAATTTTATACGAGCAGAGATTCGAACACATAAACTTAGCTTTGCAGTAAACTGCAAAACTAAATTCATTGTTCTCCGTCTATATTTTGTACAACGATCGTCAACCGACGTTTGAGCGCCCGACATTTGAGCGCCGACATTTGAGCGACCCCGACATTTGAGTGACCGACACTTGAGTGACCCCGACATTTGAGCGTCCGACACTTGAGCGACTCCGACATTAGACACTTTTCAATATGACTTTTTGCCGATCAGGAAAGTCGAATGATTATTCACTTCGATAACGATGATCAGAACAATTTTTTTGTCGTCCGATTATGAACTGAATTATTTGGAGATCTGAGGGTGAGGCTGTGTAGGGTAAGGGTGAGTGGGGGTGAGGAGAGTGAGCACTTGGTGCTGAACGGTCGTTATTACTCAAATGTCGGTCGCTCAAATGTCAGGGCGCTCAAGTGTCGGTCGCTCAAATGTCGGGGTCGCTCAAATGGCGGTCGCTCAAGTGTCGGTCGCTCAGATGTCGGTCGCTCAAACGTCGGTTAATTACAACGATTGAAGTTGTGCGGTTTACAGATGATTTTCCATGGAAATTGCCTACATGAGTAGTTTTCCTCTGGATCATCCCTACCGTTATTGAGTTATTTATTATTATACAATATAAAGAACGCCGTTTTTGCAGATAATCGACAAACGGTAGCAAGAATCCAGGCAAGGAAAACAAATTCGAGAATCTCAGTTTGCGCCTACATTTCTCTAAAATTCATTCAATCAATTGCGTTTGCCTAATGCAACAAAAGTGTACAAAATATGAGACTTTTTTCACTAGTAGGTAAACTATTAATTAATTAATTTAAATTCTTCCGTAGAAAGCAATATAATAATCGATCAATATTTCCACTCAAGAACTTCAAATCCTCGGGAGTAGATTTTTTCCTGCAATACTCCAACTGGGATAATTCCACTATTTATTAACTTCTTAAAGAAAGACTTCGATGTTCATTTAGAAGCGCAAATCACTATACATTGAAGAATGTGGCATCTTTTTCGTTCAATGAATTCAGATTTTCTGAATTTTTGTTTGTCTAATATTCTAAGTCTTATACGCGTTTATGCTTGTAGAAAATATTAAGAGAGTCGTTACGCCATGTCGTTAGAAAGCAGCGATCCATACGAATTTATTCAGTCACAAATCTCAAATGTTCTCGATACAAAAGTTGATAAGCGTGGTCGAAAAAAAACGAAAACCACAAGTGTGACTTCAACAATAACCACATTCATTACACATAAACATCCTGCTGCTCCTATAAAACGAACAGAAAGTGTACCCACTCGAACTCCGTCTACACGTGAAAGAAAATCAATAACACGATTGAATCCAGCACATATTTCACCATCAAAAACAAAAAAGCGATCTCCTATAAGATCTGAGAATAACCGCGAATTTTCCCAATCTGATTTTTCACAATTTATTGAAATGAAAAAGGTCAATAAGAAAGCACGTGTTAATAAACGACATGGAAACATGAAGAAGAAAAAAAGTCAAGAAGATGATAGAGATTATCACGGTTATCTACCAGAAGCCAAACGTTCAAAATCTTCGAGCGCAGGTATTTGGATTTCAGAGGTTTGATTTCACAAATATTTTAAAAAGAGACACATTTTTCGATCATCACGAAAAGCAAGACGAAGATATTTTTTAAGCAGGAATGTTTGAGTATCACCAATTTCTTTTTTCCTTAGCTCCAACAGCAGTTGATATTGATCAACAAAATATTCATAATGAGGTAGAAGCAATCGAACAAACGCGATTGATTTATGAAACTCCAAGTATGTCTGAGGATGTTTAGTTTGTAAAAAAATTAGATAGCTCGTCCTTTTCCTGTTCCAGCTGGTCGTACAAATCTCAATAAAGTTGTACAAAATAATACAAAACTTGTTGATAAACTTATTCAACGTCAAACGCCTCTGACTGTAGTAATTTCCAAACAAGACACAACAAAAACAACTAACCAACGCAGTAATCGACGAACATCAGGTAAAAAACATTCCCCATCATCTTTTAAATGAGCTTTTGAATGTACATGACATCTTTATACAATGAGTTTTTAATGAATGCTTTCTTGGACTACGCAGTATGCTTTTCAATAAAACAGGGACCCATTGGATAGATTAGGTTGATTAAATGAAGATTATATTATATCACCTTTGTCTCTCGCTCTGCTATTAAATAAATCAAGAATTGAAATTCTTTCAATTGCAGATAATCCAGATAACTCACAAACGTTTATTCCGAGTTCAATTGGATTTTCCCCATCTATTGATGATAATAATGACACACATTTTCAAGAAAAAATCGAAAAACTGAATGAAAAAATGACTTATGAGCTTCCGATATTATTGACAAAAAAACCAACAAAAGAAGTAGCTACAAAGACAACCACTACAGTGGATTCTTCTATATCTGAGAATATTCGACCAATAACTCAATTGACAAATCATCAAACTGTTCAAACAGAAAAAGAGGCAGTCAAAGATGAAACTACTCAAACAGAGCGACCACAATTAAACAACCAAATAATTCAAACCACGGATACTTCAACTATTTCAGCTCAAACAGCTGTAGAAAAAAGAACAATATCAACGAACACCAATGAAATACGTTGTTGCTCCTTGACAACGCAAACATCCCTAGAAGAAACTATAAAACTAAATCAGATTGTTCAAACATCACCACCAGCGAACTATGAAGAACAATTACAGCATCATTTATGTTGTCAAGATATTACACAGTGTCCATGTGTACAGTCATACGGGAAAACAGAATGTTTTTTTATGCAAACACTGTCAACATTTTTCAATCGAATACGACCAATACATAATAATCGACACCAACATTCTCGACCATTACCAGTAAGACGACTTCGACAACGCAGAGTAAATATTAGATCTAACAACTTTCTACAACCACAAGTCCAACAGCAAGAAGAAGAAGAAGAATATGAAGATACTGCACAAGAAAATGTAAGAAGTTTCATCAATTTTTAGTGCTATTATGTTTCTTTGATGCTTTGGTTCTAGAGTAAGCTGTTCTCGATTTTTAACAACACAGTTAAAAATACACGTTTTTTCTATTTCATGATTTTAGAATGTCTGTGAAACAATAATGAGTCAAAATCAAAATATTGTTGAAGTAGCCCCATTTCAACAATGTATTATTGAACAAAATCTTGTACAAAATAATCAGATATTAGATAATAATACAATATCTGAAAAAGATGAACTGCAACATCGAGATAATATCAGCGACATAACAGTTGTGGATGAGCAAACTTTACGTTCATTTATAATTGTCAAAGAAGATGCAATCGAACCACTATCACGACAAAATATTGAACATTTTCCAGAAGTATCATCAATCGAAATGGTTATGATTGCAGAACAAGAATCTCTACCACCCCTTAACCCATTAGATTTAAGACAAGAAAATTATAGTGAAGAAAAATGGAAACATATAGTTTTAGCATCGACATCATTGAATGATCTACAAAAAGTAAGCATTCAACGTTTTTGATTCGTTTTATTTTTTTAACAGTTTATTTCAAAACAGATTTGTTCTCCAATGTACTTTTAGTAATGCAGAGGCGGTGGAATGATTCTGAAACTAGAGCCATTGCTCAAAGAGAAAAATGTAAAGGAAAAACAAGTTTCTGCTTGGAAGTTTTCAAAATCTGTGAGTGCCAAAGTTCCCACGGCCCCATGGGTCCGCCGCCTCTGCCTGTGCGGTTTCAATGAAAGCGAAAATGAAAATTCGAATTATGCTAAATCCCTTTTGTTTCTACATGGTTTCCAGAAAAGGACTTTTCATCATGTTCGGATCAGTTCAAATAATATCAGCCTTTTCTTCTACCTTTGAATCGCGTACTAATTGACCGCCGGACTCTGATCGAAATCAGTAATATTCTTAGATTGCGTGGAAATTTTACTTTCTAACTCTCTTCAGGCAAAACGCAAATTCCAATTTCAGATTCAAGTTTTGTCTAATCACAAGCAAAATTAGAGTACTGGCCAGGTAAATTTAAAATTTGCTCAGACGAAACTTAAATGAGATTTAGCCTAGAAAAACTTCAATTTGAGATTTGACTACAACATGTACATCTATAAATCGAAGATTAACTATCAGAGCATAAAACTTGTGGAAAATGCTTGTCTCCGCACACTCTACGATTACAAATTCTGTGGGTGCCAACAGACCTGCGACCCCTATAGTTCCGCCGCCCCCGTAGTAATGGCTAATCGCCTTATATTAAACTGTTAAATTAATGTAGTTTTGTTTCATTTATTGAATGACATTCAATCCGTATCGTTACGTTATAATATTATTCTTATTTTGTTTAGTGTGAATTTGATAAATTTATTAATTATTTTAATATCGAATATTCTCCAATAGTAAATGCTAAAACAACTCATTTAATCACAGATGAAGAAGGTGACACATTGGCTTGTTCTCTAACTGGAAAAGTGATTCAAGCTATTTCTCGACATATATTTATTGTCTCTTATCGTTGGATAATTAAATGTTTAGAACAAAAACATTATATTGATGAAACAACCTATGAAATTCGTGGTGATTTATCTTGTGATCGAACTCATAATGGGATGATGAATTCGAGAACAAATCCTTATCAATTATTATTCAATAATTATGCGTTCATTTTAAAATGTTCTGGTTGCCTACCATTTTCCAATAATCAATCTTTAATTGAATTAATTCAGTTAAATGGTGGTCTAGTTATTCAAAATTTATCTGATAATGTTGAACATCGTCAAAAAATTATTTTATGTTCACAAGAATTTTTACAAAATAAAAAATCATTTTCTCAATTATGTACAAGATTAAATATACAATGTTGTAAGCCTCAATGGTTACTTGTTTCAATAACAAAATATCAGATAGTGCCGTTCAAAGATTATGAAGTGAAAAAATGTAATGTAGATTAATCAAGTCAGATAGAAGTGTTTGCTCTTTTTTTACATTTGATATAAACTCTCATTTTGCATGATTTATTTTTTATCTCATGACAGAAGATGTACGTCAGATATGTCTGTTTTCTTTTTTGTATATTTCATTAAACATTTTTCGTTGATAAACTTTAATGTATAAGTTAGCTTTTTCTTTATTATATTAGCAGTTGAATGGTAACTAGAGGTTTTTAATATGGTCTTTGACATCTTTTTTAGTTATAGACAAGTAGTGCGGATCTATTTTTACACTGGCAGGAACTAAAAATCAACTGTTGCTTCTCAAGAGAGTTGTTCAATAAGAGTCAAAAGTGCACAAAACGTATAAACTAGATTCTTTTCTTTCGGCTGTTATTACTCAATGAATAAACTATTGTCATGAGTTTTTCGTCATCTATAAACAAAATCACACATCTAAATCTGACATAATTTCTTTTCAGAATATTTTTCGATACATATGTCTAGGTCGAAAGATGATCCATATGACTTTGACTGTTCGTCCGTACCAGAGAAAACAAGTGATTATTTGAAAAATCGTCGATCACTTACAAGTCGAACAACTATACCGAAAACTAGTATTCAAAATGAATCATCAAAACGGCGAGCTACACTTCAACCTATTTCGACTGTACCACGTACAACACGATCAGCGTTGAAAAATGTTCTAACTCAACAGCAACCACTATCGGAAATCAAAATGAATCGAGCAAGCATAAATGATGATTTTCATGATATCACAAAGGAAAATAGAAATAATGACGCATTTTCAAAACATAATAACAAGAATAAAAACGAAACTGAAAAAGATAAAGATGAATTATTAACTAGTACTAAACGTTCAAAAAGAAATGGTATTGTTACACACTTATTTCTTCCATTGTTTTGAGGGATATGAATTTCTGTGAAGATTAAAGATATCAATTGCAGTAGAATATATTTGCCACCTGGAATGCCTACATATAATAACTTAAAATATGCAGTTACTTTGATTTCTTTGAAACATGGTATATTTTGGAATTGAACCTAATAAGATGTATTAGAGAAGATTTCTTTGTTACATAGATGGATTGTCATCTCCTATCGCAGCCACGCAACCATTTCAAGTTAGTGAACCATCACTACTCACTGAACATGACCAGCCATCAAATCGAAAAAAAATAGCCATTCCTGATACTCTCGCACCACCCTTATTTGAAGATAATATCGTTATCGAAGAGAAAATCCAAAAACTCAAAGAAAAATCCAGTATTGGTCAATCGATATCTCCTGTTGCTGCTGAGAATCCTCAACTAATTGAAATAAAAAATGAAATAATTCAAACAGACAATGCATTTGAAACCTCGTCAACAAACGCGAATAACGTTGTCGTCCTTCGTTCATCAACGGCACAAACGGAAGGAGTTACAGGCGAAGATCAATCGGTACAAGCCTCGGATCATCAATTCTTACCTCATACTCGCTGTTTAGATATTCGTCGTTGTCCATGTGCTCAATTAACTAACACAATTGCCCAACTATTAACAACATTTTTAAATCAAATACGTCCAACATTAAATCAACGGCAACGTCAACGAAGACGTTTTTGTCCATATCGACGACGAATTCGATATCAACAACAGATTAGAGAACAAAATAGTCAACAAAATGTAAGCAAATTCTGAATAAAAGATGGAAATTCTTCCTAAATTTTTGTAATAACTCCAGAGAAAGACCTTTTCCTCCTATTTTCCGTCTGACTCCTAGTTGTAGTCAAAAAAATAACAGATTTTGTTATGTTATCAGCAAGAATAGCTCATTTTATTTTTGGTTTAGCGACTAATTTTTCAATCTTTTATCCTCCTTTTTTTTCTAAATTAAGCTTAACGACGACTGGTATTTGCCTCTGTCCTTTCTCTAATAATTTTGTCGATCGCTCAAGTAGATATTGGCGCGACCATGCTTTATCTGTTTCGGTTCTGACTGCAGTCCTGGAAATGTTTTTTTCGAAAAACACAAACAAAATGTCCTTTTAATAGTGGAAGACTAAAGCTTTTTCATGATACAGATTGAAAAGCAATAGTCAGGCGAGAAAAAACTTGCAGTTTTTGCTCATTAAATTCTTTTAGAAAATCCTTGATTTTGTTTTAACCTCTCTGATTCTCTTGTCAATAATTTATGTCTGTCTGTGAATCTTACACTATGAAAATGTAAATAGAACATTGATAAATAATGTTATCTTTAGATTAGTGAAATCGCTGATGTTATACCTCAATTCGTGCCATCTACTGTAAATGAAGTAGAAGATACTGCTCAAAATATTGGTGAAATGACGTTTAGTAATCGATCAACTATGGTATCTGATACTCAACAACTTCTAGATGAAAAACGAAAGATTCTTATAGATAATGGAGAATGTGAACATATTACCGAATTAACATCTTCAGAAATAGCATTACTTAGCGAAGAACAATTGTCATCGAGTCCAGAACCATTAGATTTAAGAAAAGAAGAAAAAAAGAAAATGACTGTATTGGCGTGTACTTCATTGAATGATCAACAAAAGGTAAGAATACAGTCACTTGTTTATTTTTTTCCCGAGAAATACTTTAAATCTCATTTTTCTATATTTTATTTCTTTGTTTAAGGAGAAACTTCATGAATTTATGCAGTATTTCAATTGTCAATCATCGTTGTTTATTGATGAAACAACAACACATTTAATAACATCTGAACAAGACGAAACCTTGGCATGTCCATTAACTGGAAAAGTTATTCAAGCAGTTGCGCGTCATTTATTTGTAGTATCTTATCGATGGATCATCGAATGTTTAAAACAAGAACGTCTTGTGAGCGAAGATGATTATGAAATACGGGGTGATTTAACATTTGATAAACAACATAATGGTATGAATCGATCAAGAACAAATTCAACACAACTACTATTAGAAAATTATGCATTTCTATTAAAATGTTCGGGATATGGGCCGTTTGATGATAATAGACCAATTATTGAAATGATTGAACTTTGTGGTGGAATTGTTTTAAACAATTTAACAACAGATGTCAATGGTATCAAACGTCAAATTATTATATTGTGTTCAAATGACTACAAACCAAATAATTTGATAATGGGAGCGTGTAAACGTTTGAATGCTCAATGTTTAAAAACACAATGGTTGCTGTTATCAATAGTAAGATTTAAAATACAATCATGTGAACTACATCAAATTTAAACAAAACCAATGTATATATCTTCTTTAATCAAGATTTATGTTCACTGATTTTTATATTATATTTGTATTTTTGTCTTCTCATCTATCGTATTTTACTTTTATCTTGTTATGTAACATTGTTCCCATTTTATCTTCTTAAAAATATAATCTTGCACATGTTTTCATCTTTTAAAACGTACAAGATGACTCAAAGGCTGTTTTTTTCGTCGAATAATTTTTTATATTGTCATTGTTGAATTGTTCTGAAGATATCAGATATATCAGTAATAAAACCTGACAAAACGTAAGTTAACTTATCGTCATCCCAATAGTTTCCCCTATGTTGAATAAAATCACCAAATTTTAATATTTTTTAGATAAACATGGATTTAGCTACAATGGATTTAGCATTGGAAAAATATAAACCAAGTGAAGCGACAAAAGAAGACGACATGAATATTAATCGTCCTTCAAGTTTAGCATCAATTTTATTTCCACCTAATTATCAGTTCCATTCGTCTATTATTCATATGATTGTTCGTCCTGGTAGTAAAACAAAAAATTTATTAGCATTTATTTCACCAAAATTCTTTCAAAATGATGTAAAACAAATAACATGGAATGGTTATGGTGATAGTATTAGTAAAGCCATTGGATGTGCTGAAATAACAAAAAGACGTTTTTATTCACATCATTCAAATAATGAAAAAATATATCAATTGAATAAAATTGGTTATAAACCTTGTGAAGAATATTGGGAACCAGTTGACGCTAATTCTGAATTAGATCGATTAAAAGTTAAAAAAGATATACCGGCCATATGTATTCTATTGTCGAAAATACCGTTAAATGAAGAAGATTAATGTTATATCTTTTCTGTTTTTTGTTGTTTAAATAAACTCTTGTGTACAATTATATATGTTTTCTTTTTTTATTGAATTTCGAAATGTCATATACTTGTGTGTATGTGTGTGTGATTTCAGATCGTACATGTTTTATTTCTTTTATTTAGTAATCGTAGATATTTATACTTTGTTTATGGTCGAATTGTAGTTTAGACATGAGAAAGATCACAGATGGTAAGAAAAAATAGTATTACGGTTTTTTTTGATGATGTTAAACTTTTCTTTGTTTTATTAGAAAATTCATCAATTTCATCAATAATACTATCAAAACGTTTACGTGATCGTCAAAATAAAGAAGATCGTATTCCTCGAAAAAAGACAAGGTAATATAATGAAATTCATTTTCTCTTATGTATTACTCATTATCTTTGTCTCTTATTTTAAAAATAGATACGAGTTACGTTCATTTATATCAGGCAAAAAAAGAACATCGAGACGACGAGCCTATGTAAATGAAAGTAGTGATAATGAAAGTTTATCAACGAGTGACGATACAGAAACAACACTTAGCAGAAAAGAGAGTGAGACTGATTTCGATGGTACTGATGTTTCACAGAATGGTGAGTAAAAAGAAATGATTGAAAAATAAGCGTTGTTATTGTTGTTTTTTGCAGTTCCAGAAACGCTAACAACGAAAAAATTTGATCCAGACATATTTGATGATGAACGTGGTAATTAATAAATATACTTTACATATAACTTAAAAATAAAATGTGTTTTAAGTATACTGCTCAATTTGCTTTTTTACTAATGCTCTTAGAAGTCTTTAGTGATGTTGTGTTATTTATGTTTTGCTTAGAAGATGCAGATGCGAAGCCATCACTGTCAAGTGTCGTGAATGATGGTGTTATTGATTCATCAATAATACGTTTATTATCTGGGAATGATTTAACGTTATATAAATATTTTCTATTAGAAAAAGTTAAACAATCACCATTACGTAAATATTGTTTACAATTAAAAAGTCTAATGGACGATCTTGATAATGAATTTCACTGGCATATGAAACGAAATGTTTATAATAGTTCGTGTTATCTTTGTAAAACAACAGTTGCTAATCAAACTAAATATAAAAGAAATAATCAAAGTTATGATAATAATGTTGATGAATAATGAACTGATTACATTAGTCTTTCTACTTAAATCCGTCCGGTGAACGCAGATGTCTTCCTTATTTTTAATTATTGTTTTTTCGAAAATATTCTTTAACTCTTATTTTTACTCGGGAACATAATTTTGTTGATAACTTTTGTGTGATTTTAGAATTATTTTACACTTTTTTAGTTAAAGAAAATCTATTTGTCTTGTTGATTTTGAAACAAGATTTAATTTGTTAAACAAGATTTATATTCGGTGAAACATTGATCATTTATGGAGTTTGGGAAATGTGTTTTAGGATTAAGGATTTTATAGTACCTGTCAATGGATCTCTTAGCATCTTTGACAAACAGACATTTGAACCCGATCCTGAATGTTGTTCGCCTTTGCGATCGCATTCCATGAAATAATTTGAAGCGGTTAACGATCGTTAGAACGCGCTAAGTATGAAACATCTCACGAATTACTGCACTTCTCTAACGTGTTAAAATTTAGAAGTTAACCGAGTGTGAACGCTATTTTTATCGTTTCTTTTTCAAAATCACGTTCAACCATATTAAGTTTAGGAATTTAACTCGTTTAGACACACTAAATATTTTATATTTAATTATTTTCATATTTAACGCTTTCTAATGATCGTTAATCGCTTCAAATTATTTCATGGGATATCTGTAATACAGCTCTATTTACTTTAAAAACTTACCTAATGGAAAATATAGTGCATGAAGTTATTTGATATACTTGCTCATTACACAATATACTAATCATTTGATATATCTACTTATAGATGTCTAGTGTTCCGCTTGTTCTTGATATTCTATTAGCTTGTGTACTAACATTAATATTATCATATCGCTGTGGTAACTGGCGTCGGCAGCATCCAATAACCACAATAACAGTGTTCATTGCTTGGTTCTTATCCATATTATTCGTTTTTTTATTACCACTTGACATATCACTCGTATGTTTTCATACATTCTCTTTTTTGTATCCTAATATTTTCCTTGTTACATTTTTAGGCTGCTTATACTCAATGTACGAAAGAGAAAACATCTCTAGTTTTAATCGCAAACACTTCAGATGTGAGTAAGTTCTCATCCGTTGATTTCCTTCTCATCATCTCTGATCTTTTTTGGCATATAGGCAAATATTTCTGCTTGTCCACAACCATGGTCTTATGTTAATCCAACATCATATGAAGTTTTATGGAGAATTATTTATTGGACATCACAATTTTTAACATGGTATCTAGCATTATTGGCTTACTGAAAAATTTATCAAAACATTCTTTTTCTTCTTGAAGGTGTCTTCTTCCGTTTATGCAATCCATCTGTCAAACGGGTGAATTTTCTGTAAAAGGCAAAATTAAATATGCTTTAATATCAAATTTAATATATTACGGTTCTTTACTGTTAATATTTGGTATATTAGTGATTTATGTTGCTGTTAATTACCATTTGGATGCACCAAACTTAAAAGTGAGTCTTATTTCCTATACATATAGAGAACATAATGTTCTTTTCTTTTTCTTTAGGTAATTGTGGTTACAGCTTCAACAACATGGGGTTTATTTTTACTTGTATTAATGTTAGGTTACGGTCTCGTTCAAGTACCGTTCACTGTGTGGAATCATTCTCGCACATTATACATGTTATCACATGTTCAATTTAAATTATCACAATTATACAATGAAAAAGTTGATATTGAAGAAAAACTCGATCATATCATCGATGATGTATCGAAAATGTGTGTTCATATTAAATATAATGATCCGTTGAGACACTGTATTGAAACAATAGTAAAAATTATACCCGATCAATATCAATATAGAGTTAAATTAAATACGGATGATTATGAAGATTATACAAATACTAAAAAACGAACACCGGCCTTACTAGATTTATTAACAGAAAAACAATTAATTAAAGTACATGAAAAATTAAAAACAGCTATTCATATTCATCATCGTGTACAAGCATCTTGGTTACATATGATCAATGAAGCATTTCATCTAGAAGATTTGGTTTTAAATGAAAAAAATACAAATCATGAATTTATGCACACTTCACCATTACCACCTTTGTGGTTAAGACAAAAATTATTTCAAAAACATTCAACTTTAGGTAAGTCTGTATACTTTTTAGCCTTGATCATAGAAAGATCAACTTTCTTTGCATAGAAGTATGCACAGTAGGAAATTTGCAAAAGTTTCGGACGCATTTAAACGAGTTTTCAATTTAAAATCGTGATTTTTGATGCGTTGAAACCATTTCCCACGTTTTTCCAACGCATCGTAGACAGTTTTAAATGTTCTTTTCGAAAAATAAACGCGTTTAAAGGCGTTGGAAGTACAAACGTTTTCAACACGTTAAAAAAGTTCGACGTTATCTAGAGGAATAACGCGTGGTAATGATAAATGTTTTAATTGACGTTTAAACGCGTCCAAAACTTTTGCAAATTTTCCTGCTGTGTGTTTAATCTTTTAAAATACGCTTTTTCTTTTATTACATTGTCTAAAGCATCGAACTATTTATTTTTAATGATTATGATTTAAAAAGTGGTCGTTCCGAATAGAAACTTCTATAACTTATCGGATAACGTATTGTCATTGCTACATTTAAGATAGTAAACGATAGTCACTTTTTAAGCTCTGCCTTTTGATTTGACTCTATAATCGTTTTTCGTTAGATAAAATTCATTATCTTTATTTACTTGTCAAATCTTGTACTCCTAATGTAGTTGATCGAAAACATTATGGATAAACAGTAGATGAGAAAAAAGCTTTTAAAAAATAAAATGACATTGTTGTAAAAAAAAGTCTTTTTAGTTGTTTGATATTGTTTGCTGAGTCATTTAATCATATCTTTCCCATATCTCCTCGATATAATGAAAATTTAGATAGATGCTTCCGATAGTTCGAAGTGCGACAATCATATAGAATCGTAGTAGTTTAAAAAATAAGTTTGAACTCACGATTAGTAGATTCGTCATTATTGGTGATATTTCTGTCATACTTTTATTAGAGGATGATGATGAACGTATGCTACAGATACTGAAAAACAAAGGGACAAGGTCAAGTCAGATTATTTCATGAGTACTGGGGAGATGAAATTATACGATAGAAAATATGACGAAAATTTATTTTGAATTTATAAATATGATCGTGAAAACTATTGTATCGGACAGATTCGGCATTGAAATGAATGAATACAAATGAAAAATACATGACGTATGTAAAAAGAAAGAGAACAATGATGATAATAGTGAAAATTACTCGAGTGTTATTATTTTCAAAGATTAGAAATGAATCAAAAACTAAATACAATTTGATTTTTGTACAGTTGGATTTATCAATCTTTATGATAAAAATTTGATTTACATCGACGGAAAATGGTGGATAGTATATGATTTTATTAATGTTAAAAAATTAAATAAACTTCAGCTAGCGTATTTTTTCACGTATTAAATATTTCAAGTGGAAACGCATTATCAGTTCAACATGTGGTAAATAAAATGAAGCAGTGGAAAATGCGTTGAGAAGAAAAAAAGTGAATGCTCGGAATGGTGAAGAAAAAGGGAGAAATTTTGTAGTTAAAAAGCTTTTTCTAACTTATTCATACGGAGATTTATAAGATGGATGATGCATTTATGAATGAAGATGCTAGAAAAACCGAAGTACGATTAATAACATAACAGTTCATCTACCACATAGTGTCATACATGACAGTTTCACTAGTTTTGTGTGTTAAACTAATTGTCACACTTTTAATCACAAATGATGTAATATGAAGGAATAGATTGATTAAAAAAAGATTTTTCTCTAATGATAGAAGACATTTTTTAAGTCAAACTCTTCATAATACTGCATGTCGTTACGTAAGATTTGCCTGTAACATTCTTATCCTTTTGCGGTTGTATTATGATGCACAAATAATACATGTTTTTTTCATATTCGTCCTGTTTTACACGATTCTTCTCTCATTAAGTGACTACTGAACAATATAAAGATGCCAATGTAGTATTTCTCTTTTATCCATTCGCTTTCAAATGGATAAAGCACAAGACTGATGTTATCATGCCAGAGCTGAGCATCTCTATGGTAACAAGTCATTTTTTAAGTCAAAAAATGACTTGTTACCATGGAGATGCCCAGCTCTGTATCATGCGATCGAACAATTTTGAATATTCGCTGTTTTGTTATATTTAGAATGGTATACGTACTGTTTAATTCGTCCATGGTTTTTGCGTCTATGTGGGATAGTACTGGGCGTAATGTCATTAATTGTTATTTGGTCTGAAATGACATTTTTTAGTATAAAACCGGTATTATCAATATTTGCCGCAACATTAAATGAAACACGCAAACATTATGATTATTTTACAATTGAAGTATGTTTCTCTTCATACTCAGTGGACTTGTATTAAATTTTATTTTGTCAATTTTGATCGGTGATAAATGTAGAGGAAGATAACGGTAGCCATTTTTCAACACAAAAAGTTTAGGATGTTTTTTCAACAGACTGTACTCCTCATCAAAATCAGCATCCATTTCAAAGAAGTTCTGCATCCGCTCCCTATGGAAAGTGTGTAAGTTGGGTAGAAATCTTACCATTCCTATTGTTAAATGTAGATCAACGATACGATACGTAACTGCTGTGGCGGAGGCAACCTGGGAGCGGTACATGCGGTCGCTCATACATTTTTGATATGTAGGAGCGATCTTGCTTTGGGAAATACCTTCAAAATGTATATTTCTTAAAGTTTGTTGTCATTTGTTGCGCAGTACACTCTAAAAAAAAGTCGTAGATTAATAAACTACAATAAAAGAGTTTTTTGGCCTAAAAAACTCGTTAAAAAACTCTTTCGGGTTTTTTGATCAGTTTTTTAGTCCAGAAAACTCGTTTATTGTAGTTTTAATCTACGACTTTTTTTTAGAGTGTAATACGCACTGTCACAAAAAAAGTCAATTTAATACTGCCCTTGAACTCTGGTTTAAAACCGCTCATACTGTTGGACATTTCTGGATCCGCTACTGCGTAACTGATATTTAGACAAGAGTACCCATGAAATAATTTGAAGCGGTTAACGATCGTTAGAACGCGCTAAGTATGAAACATCTCACGAGTTACTCCACTTCTCTAACGTGTTAAAATTTAGAAGTTAACCGAGTGTGAACGCTATTTTTATCGTTTCTTTTTCAAAATCACGTTCAACCATATTAAGTTTAGGAATTTAACTCGTTTAGACACACTAAATATTTTATATTTAATCATTTTCATATTTAACGCTTTCTAACGATCATTAACTGCTTCAAATTATTTCATGGATACATCGAAGTTTTACTTTTTAGACTCGTAAAGTTGAAGATGATAATTTTTTATTTTATTTTAGGTTTTTAGTTGGTTTAGTATATCGTATTTGTGTATTTGTGCTTATTACACAATATTTCGTATGCGAATATTCAATTATTTCTATTTATCATTATATCATTTAACAGACGAAAATAGTCTGATATTTGCTGCCACGTATGTTGAATGTAATGTTAGCGATAATTATGTCGTTTATTTCAAAGTTTATTTTTTTTAGATTATTTTGTCGTTTGACGGCGCCACTCAGTTTCAATTTTCTTGGACTAATACATCTTGATAAAGCAATAACAAAAGAAGATACACATGAAACTGTCTTTACCAGTGTAAATATTTCACTTTTATTGAATATAAATTTCTCTTTTATGAATATTTTGTTTTATCTAGATAATGGGTCGCATGGATGTAATACCTATTATATCAAAAGGTTTTAATATTTATTTTCCAATGTTAATATTTTTTCTTTGTATTGGAACACTTTTTCGATTGGGTAGTCGATGTTTAAGATGTGTTGGTTTTCAACAATTTTTCTATGATGATGATATCTCTTCGGAATATGTTGAAGATGGAAAAAATTTAATGAAACGTGGTACGTAACTTTATCAAATTTTACACTTCATGGGTGTGCCATAAAGAATGTGTATTTTATATTTCCTCATTAACTCCGTTAGTTTTGATCGAATCGAACGAATTTTTTTCTTAAAACGATTCATCGTTCAATTCTCTATCAAACTATAAAAAGGTTTTTGTTCTAAACTCAAAACTAAAAAAGTTATCGTAAAAATAATAAAGAAGCCCAACATGTCTAACTTTCAAGCCTCAAAATCAATGTCTTTACGTTTGTGCTCAGAGATACAGAATGGAAAAAAAAGTGAGTAAGCCATTTTGTAGAGTTTTGAAAGCTCTATCTTCCTAGTGTGTTTCAAAATTTTCGGAGCAAAACCCTGTTGCACAAATTTTGTTTTTTCGTATGTTTGCAAAAACATCAAGTTCAAACGGTGGTTTTGGCTCTTTTCGGAAAATCGACGTAATTCGGCCGAAATGTAACCGTTTAAGCCAAATTTTTTTTGTTTGAAATCTCATGAGTTGTACTATGAGAAGCCATGCTTAGGCCAAACAAAAATTACTCTTTTTCCGCCAGGTTCAAACGTCAAGACGGAAACTATTAGTTAGTTTTAGTTTAATCTATATTTTATTAGTCAGCTGAAATAAGCATCACAGATAGTCGGGAATCGCAAAGCATTGTACCTGGCTATCTGAAGAAACACAACATAGACACTTGGAATAACAACAAAAAATAAAAACTATCATTTAAAAAAAACAAATTAGTTTTCAACCTGGCAAGCAAAAAATAGATTTTGCTTCACTGGTTTTAAGCGAAACGTCTTTTTTTTATACGATAAGAAAGAGTACAGTTTTTGTGCAATAAATCATTTTCAGATGAACTTTATTGCCGAAAAAAATGATAAAACAGGTTATGTATTCGAGCTTGAAAGTTAGACATGTTGGGCTTGTTCATTATTTTTACGATAACTTTGATTTTTAGTTTAGAACAAAAAGCTTTTTATGGTTCGATAGAGAACGATGAATCTTCAAAAAAAATTCATCGATTCGATCAAAACTGACGGAGTTATTGAGGAAATACAAAATACCCATTCATTATGGCACATCAGTTATTTTCTAGAGTTTGTTCGTACGATCTGTATAACAGACTTAGCGAGACTTGTGTAACTTTTATGAAGATGCTGAAAATTTAGCATTACAAATTCATACACTAATTTTTCTATGATAATTTATCTAAATTTGTCGTTATTTCTTATGTTGTAGAAAGACGAGCTTTGGGCGGTGTGTTGCCTAATGAAGTGACAACGACAACAGCTACACAGCCTCGTGATCGTCGACGAGAAATTGAAGAAAAATATGGCCTAGGTGGAGCAATAGCATCATCAAAACTGATTGCTACAACAACAAATATCATACAACCCAATTCAAATGGTAAGTTCATTTAAGTCACGAATATTTAGTACCATTTATTTAACCTATCTTAGAAAATCGTCCACTGAACCCATCGACTAATTATAATGAGCCATTATTGAATCTCAACAATGATAGTGGCTATTTATCTCCTGTTCAACCGATCTTATCAGGTTCGATATTCTTTTATCTCTCACTGACAATATAAATTTATCATCTCTTTTCTTCCAAAATAATAATAAATAGTTGCAAGATCTGTTCGAAGGTAGTTTCATATTTTTATAAGCTCGTTCTTTGCTTATCAATTATCAGTTATGCTTTTTTGTTGAAAAAAAAGTTTATAATTATTGATTAGATTATTTTTTTGCTGAAATTGCTTTCAAACAGTGAAACTACTCAGGTTGATTCTCCCAACCGTAGGAATTCGTCGGTACGAGGGGAATTCTGCCAATTCTGATGATCAGAAATGACTGAAATTTTGACTGATTTTTGACCAAAAAACGTTCACAGACGAGAAAAATGAAAAGATTCAGTTTGTGGGGAAAATTTAACTTGGGTACGTTCAAATAGTCAGTTGCCAAATGAAAAGTAATTGTTTGCTCTGAAAATCGAGAAGTTTAACAAGTAAGTCACCAAACATTTTAGTTACTGTTATAATGGTGAGGGTCCTATCAAATGATGAACAGTTTTTTCTTGCTCAGATAATTGCTTTTTGACTTTGAAGTGTGGAAAAGAAGAATTCTTAGGTAAATCATTTTTCAGTATATTTTCTTGGTTAATGTTTGATTAAATTTGGTATTAGTCAGATGAAATTTTAATTTTTAGACTGCTGCTAAGTTTTAAATTCAAAACTGTTACAAGAATTTGCTAGAAAATTTTTTATTTTGTCATCGTAGATTCATCAAGGAGAGGACTTCCTCCTACAAATATCTTCAATAATGTTTAATAATAAAAGATAAATGCTCAATTATTTTGATGATGAAAAGTCTGACAACCACATTGTACACGTATGAAATCTCGCATACAGCTGCCCATTTTCAGTATGCCTTGCTTTCAAAACAACATTTTTTATGCAACTGTTCAGAAATGAGCAAAGTTTTCTCGAACGGTTTAAGTGTTCAAGATATTACTCATTAACTTCCTTCAATTTCAATTTTATATTCTTCCTTTTCATCTACTTATCAAAATTTCTCTGTTTTGACACTATTTTTTTATATCAACCAATCGAAACGTAATCAGATTTAGAATCTAATCATTTTATTCATTCGTATCACCGTATACATTTATTGTTTGTTCGTATTTTTGTTTTTTTATCATACCACCGATGTACCTTGAATTATCTGTGGCTAATTTATTTTTTGTATATAAAAGATGATATAAATTAAACAAAATTTTAGTCATTCTATTTCGATGTTGTTTTGTCTATCAACATGTGATTTTATTTGTTTGTTATTTATTAATGTTTTTAATTTATTTTCTTGAACTCTAATTGTTGTATATTTATGAAAAAAATATTGTACAGTTTTTCTGTATTGCGCGTAATAAACATATAAAAATTGAATACTCTCAGTATATCTCTTAGCGGGAACCTCTCGAGATGATAAAACGCTTTTTGCTCGGAATCTAGTGAGCTATAGGTTATCGACCATGCTGATTACGAATATGACCATGGAAGTGATCCTTAGCCCTTCGAAGACCCGATTTTCTAGAAAAACAGTTTTTCAAGAACTCTGATATGTAACCAGAACCTCCCTTAATGAGGCACGATTGTAGCCCGTAAATTTCTGACTAAAATGAGACATCCCCCAGCTTTACACGACCTTTCTTTACAAAGTTATAGAATTTACAAGAAAAGTCCTAAATGTTCATTATCAGGTCAAAGCTATTAAAAATTTACGAGCAGCTAAGACGGAAAAAATTAATTTAGGGCTTTTCTTGTAAATTCTATAACTTTGCAAAGAAGGGTCGTGCAAAGCTGGGGGATGTCTCGCATTTTAGTCAGAAATTTACGGGCTACAATCATGCCTCATCAAGAAAGGTTCTGTTTATATCTTAGAGTTTCTAAAAACTGTTTTTCTAGAAAATCGGATCTTCGAAGGGCTAAGGGCCACTTCCATGGTCATATTCGTAATCAGCATGGTCGATAACCTATAGCCCACTGGATTTCGAGCAAAAAGCGTTTTATTACCTCGAGAGGCACTCTCGTTAGTTATGGTTTTAAAGCATGTCTTAATAAAAATCTCGGACATCTATCTTTTAAGGGTACCCGTTCTCCTCATTTTTTACGTTATTGACAAAGATTCGATTAAATCCAAAGTTTTACCAGAGATACAATATCGAAAAAGAAAATCGATGTATTTCTGCCCCGAATGTTCTTCTATAGATTACGACTGTGTCGGATCAGGTTCAAAATTTTATTACAGATACTTGAAATGATCTCTCGGAAAGATAATTTCTTTTCATTTTAGAAGAGACAGATCTTTAAAACTATCAGACTAAGATTTTACTTTTTAAGATTGTAATATGATTTCATAATTCTGCTTTCATTCATCTCTTTTCGTTTACTTGCATGTATCTATACATCTAATTCTACAAAATGACTCAATTTTACATAATCATTTTTCTTCCAGATTGCAGTTGTACAGGCCTTCTCGAAGACATTCAACAGAGAGTGTACAACGCAGGTGTAGAATTTATCCGTGTGCGCGTACGTGCAAAAGTTTTGAAAGTTGGAAGTTTTTTGAAAATTTCTCAACGAAAAAAATGTGGAATTTTTCCACATAGGAAGATTTAAGAAATTTCCGAATAATAAGAAATATACCGATAAAAGCCTTTTCTAAATTTCAACTGTGGAAATTTTGCAAAACTTTTACCGTTCGTGGAAAATTTTCAAACTCACGAGTAGATCCTAAACTTCTGAACACAAGTATACGTTCAGAAATGGACGTCCTAAAACATGAAATTTCTTGTGCTTTTCGTCAAACAATTTTCTATGAACTTCTTTAAAAAGCATTTTTATAAAATATTTCATATAAAGTTTCTTGTTGTTAAACGACAAAAGCAGCGTAGAACTATAGATTCATAAAAATAAAATATTTTCTGAAAAAATGTATTAAATCCAAAACAAGAGACCGTTTCTGTTCATTAACGGGCCACCCTCGTTTTTTTGTGAAACTCCTTAAGCATCTCCAAAGGAGAAGGAACTAAAGTTTTATACTCAAAAAGCCTTGGTTTTGACCTATTTTTTAAGCTCTCCCTCCAGGTGTATTCATCTTAAAAGACACCTGCAATTTTTGTTGTTCCTCTATGTTAGTGTACACTATTCCCAATACCCTCTTTCGGCTAATGTAAAGGAGTTTCACCATTTTAGCCCCACAAGGGGTTGCCCTAACAAGATTTTTCATAATTTTGTAGAGCGCATCTAGCTGTATGTACCCTGAAGTGCTTTCGACGAACAGACTTGTAATTGTTGAGAAAAGAAATTTGTACGAATTTCATACGATTTCGATCCTCTATTGAAAAAATTTATAAAAAATTAAAAATTAAAACCGGAACTCTTATTGTTACGCAGTTCGACAGCACACATTAAGTGGCATATACCCACAAGTTATAATGAAAATTGAACCAACTGTGTCTGAGAAAATTAACATTTTTCATTATATGGCAGTTTGAGTCCTTAAAGTAATTTTTCGAAATTTATGCAAACTTTTTCACACAAACGAAGCATTTTGAAGAAACATTTTTGCTGTCAAAGTTGTTCAGGATAATCCTTTTCATACCCTTAGCGGAGGACTTTTTTCACTTTAGTGGAAAAATTTGAAATAAATTTGAAATAAAAAATGTTGAGCTTTAAATTTACTTAAAATTTACGTAAATTTTACATTTATTTCAAAATTTTTCCACTAAAGTGAAAAAAGTGCTCCGCTTCGGGTATGAAGAGGATTATCCTGAACAACTTTGCCAGCGAAAATGTTTCTTCAAAATGCTTCGTTGTTTTGAAAATGCTTGCATAAGTTTGTGGATGAAAAAATTGAATTTCCATGCAAGAGCGAGTTGACCTAACATAGGTTTTCACGAGGTTTCTGAATTTTTTTCGAAAAACGAACATTGCCGCGAGATTCAGTGTGATGATAACCCATGTTTCCATTCCATAGATTACCACACCTAAGGAAATATCGATCATGTGGCTTCGAGGAAATCTGATGCCGCGCCTAAACCGCGGAAGGTTAGGAGGTCGCTTAGCTCCCGTTTTCTAGAGAATATTTTAGGCTATCATATCTATATGAGAAATACATGGGGCACTCTGGTAGATCTTGAAACTACGACCTACTCTTTCAAAGACTAATAAGATAGACCACCTGCTGATGCTATTTTCTGAGATATTTTTATGTCAACTGGTAGCTAATTATCTCCTCTATGCAGTGCCGAAAACCACAGGTCTCCAAAGTGCATTGTTCAAAAGTTATTAAAGAAATAGCCACCGGCATTCTTTTTTAATAGTATCTGGGCTGGAAAAAACCCACATCCATGACAAATTACAAAACAAAATACAGAATTTTGTAGCGCTTGAGTGGATGATTTAAATGATATATTATTCATGATATTTGAGCGAGAGAATTTGAAGAAAAAAAGAATGCAAACAACCACACTACAGTGAACTCGCATCAATTTTAGACAAAAAAATTTATAAAGTCTGTTAGATAGAAATTTTTTCTTCCTTTTTTACATATATAATAACTACGAATAATTGTGCACCTAAACATACTTGAAGCAAATTCCTGTCATTATCCCTGAATAACTTATGAAATATCGAAAATCAGCCGCTAGATCGAAAATTTTGACCAAAGTCTAACTTTAAAAAATTCATAATTTCACCAATATTCATTCATAGGACTACCGAAACTTCTTAAAGATAAATAGTACTCAACGCAATCTATAAACTGGCATAATTTGAAGACAAGTTTGGGAATAGTTACCTCCCCCTTAACTGCTCGATACGCCATCAATTATCTCATGCTGTGTGAACACGAACATGAAAGAATTGTGTAATAATACATGTATTGAATGTAGAAAAGGGTAAAAAAGAGTTTTTTATTTTGTCGTTTTTATCTTCTGATATGATTCATATGTCTAAAACTTACACATTTACTCAGTTAAAACTTCTTTTTTTTATTAGTGGTATTATACCTGTTTTTATATTTTGTATAAAAAGACTATAAGAATTTATAAGAGTTTTTGTTTTTTATATAAATTTTTTTATAATTTGTAAAAATGAGTACAGATGAACCTTCATCAACAACAAACAATTTGAATAATTTACGAACTGCTGTTCGTGATACGACAAGTGTCCTACATACAACCGTTGATAAATTAGTTCAACGCGGTGATCATTTAGAGAATTTAGATAAACGTGCCGAAACTTTTTCCCAATCAGCCTATCAATTTCATGGACGTGCTAGACAAATTCGTCAACGAATGAGATGGGAAAATTATAAAATAACAATTATAATTGTATGCGTTGTTGCTGTAATTATCACAGTTATTATAATATTAAGTGTACAACCGTGGAAAAAAAAGTGAATTATTAAACAGTTGTGAGCTTTTTATGTGAAGTTTTTTTTTGTATTCTCGTTACTGATTTTTTATATAATGATTTATAATAATCTACAGTATATGATACATAATGGATTAAAACTCAAGATTCCCTGAGATACTGTGATATCGATATGTAGAGGACTCCTTTAACAAGTATTATAAATTTGACATGAAAGAAATACTAAATGTCTCCTTTTATTGTCTTATATTAAAGAAATTGTTAAAACAAGCACAGTAACAGTAGAACTCGATTTTAATTATATTTTTTTGTTTTTAATTCATTCTTCATGTACAAAAAAAAATGCAAAAAATAATTACATACAAGAAACGAAATTGTCTGGATTAGACGTGACTAGCAAGCCGAAATGAAGAATACAATAGCTTACGAACAATATAAAAGCTTGAAGTGAAGATAAGCGATTCAACTTGTCATGAATAACACGTAAAATAGTTAGACGTATTTGTAATTACTCGAAGTAACATTGAGCTCGATCAAAAATAAAAATAAAAATAAAACTGAAGTTAAGTATGTTAAAAATTTCACAATGCACAACTTTTTAATTTTGTAAAACAAAATATACGTAAATTTTTTAATGTTTATCAACCACTTCTCGTTTTAATTTCGCTGCCATATCACGGCGACGTTGAATTTCGGCATCGGTCAATTGTTTATCCTGAGGGATATCATTCGTTTTTTGTGGTTGTGAAGATTTTTCATTACCACTTAGATTCAATGCTTTTCGTGCTTGAGCTGCGGATCTTGGTCGTTCAATTTGAACCTTTTCATTATTATTTTCAAATTCATTTTTTCGTTCATTCTTTTGTTTTTCTATAATTAAATCACGTTGCTTCTTTAAGAAATTTGAACGTGATGATAATGCTTCCGGATCTAAACCAACTGTTAATTGTTTAAATTTTTTACGTAATTCATCTTCGCTTAATGATGATATTGATGTTGGAACCTGATTTGTTTGATTTTGTTTAGTATCATCTTCGTTCTCATTCTCATCATCGGATTCATATTCTTTTTTCTACAAATAAAAGATGTTGAGAATGACGGAAAGTGTATGTACTCTTTTTTTATTAGGGTTCAATTAACTACTCTTCTCTTACCTGATCTTTTGTTTGATCACTTTTTATATTTTTAATCCATTTTGATTCATTTGGATCAGCTCGACGTAAGTCAGGTAACGGAGCTCTTATAATTTCGTTTCCTCGTTGTTTTTGTTTATTTTCTCTTGGTGTTCTGTTTTTTTTTGGTGCTGGTGTTGTATGTATTACGTCATCATCATCTTCCTGTCTGCTATACTCACTTTCTTCTTGTTGATGCTGTATTTTTGCTGTTGGCGTATGAATAATTGGTTCATAAGTGACAGACTGTCGTCGTGATCCTTCAGCTGGTTGCGTTGTTGCCTGTATTAATAATGCTAGAATTATGTCGTCTGCTGTATCACTTTGTTTCAATATTCCACAATGTAATTGTAGTGCAACCAATGCTTGAAGTTGTAATATTAAATTTTTTCGCCTCATCATTTCAGTAAACAACGTGAAATCATCAGCCGCCCACAACTGTTCGTATGCATCACAAACGTGTTGCATTAAACAATTTGGATTGTCTTCACTACATACTTTTGAAAATATTTGATCATCAATACCTAAAATAAAATAAAATATAGAAATAATTAATGATTAAATTTTTAAAATGTTATTCATTACCTAGATCCTGTTTTAAACCATTAATTAAATTTTTCACTAATTGTGCATATTGTCGATGAATAGCCATTTGATGTCGTTTTTTTTCATCCTCTTGAACAGCGTCATTTTCTATATCGTCGTCTAGTTCATCATAACTAAATGTAACACAATTATCTTCAATGAAATTTTGTATTGGAGCAACCCAAATTGGGCCTTTTAAAAACTCGCAAACACTGTCAAAAATCCAGTCACTACTAGTTGCCATGATGCGGTATGTAGCCGAGTATACGAACCACCAACAAAAGATATAAAGAATTGAAGTTGATTTTACTTCCTCAGTGAAATCAAGTGAAAAACTCTCCACTTTATCTTCATTAATAAAGAAGCCAAGAATTTTGATGACCTTTACTAAATTTCTTCTCGTTTGAAGAAGAAAAAGCAGAAAATAGAAAAGAGTAATTGAGTTGTCATAACAGATGTCGCAGACATCCAAGTTTTCTGTATTATTACGTGCTGTATTTCGCCACATTTCCTCTTTTTTTATAGTCTTCACCAGTAGTTCACTAACTTATTATTAAGCTGATCTCTTTTTATCTGTTACCATAGACGTCTAATTCATGATTGGCAATCCTGAGTTTGAAAACCGATAAGCGGGACAAATCTGTCGGTAGCAATTGTTTTTCTCTTTTCCCCTTTGCTTATAGTATGTGGACTGCCCATAATTATTTGCTATATAAGGAAATTTCTTCAGTGAAATTCTGGATGAAAGTTTTGAATTTAAAGAAGGACTAGATGAAATTTTAGTTCCTGTTTTCGTTTTTTTCAGCCCTGCTATAAGTATCGAGATATTCACCATTTTATGCTTTAGATGACGCTACTTTTGTGAATATCTCGGTACTTATAGCAGAGAGAAAAAAATGAAAACAGGAACTGAAATCTAATCTGGTCCTTGTTTAGATCCAAAATGGTCATTCAATGAATTTCACCGAAGAAATTCCCTTATATAGCAAATAATTATGGGCAGTCTCTATCTCTGACAGTGGTTCCACTTTTATATGATCTTGGATCCAGTAGTGATTACTTCTATACATTTTTTAAAATAAATATCACTTAGTTTTCTTCCGGTATCTTGTCTGATGTAAGCGATTTGTTTCTTTTTGCCTGCCTTAATAATCCGTATGAAATTACAAGTTCCAGAAACGGTAGATGAATATTTTCCGCTAAACACTTTAATCTATCACATTTCGTATTAAACGTATAGTTAAAGGCTTTCTTCGTTTGTGTTTAAGATATACTTTATTGTACATTATGTTGAATCGTATTCGACGTGCTTCATCATTTATGTTAGAAACAAATAATATCAGCAGTAAAAATGGCAATAATTCATTATCGTCTATTGATCACATAAGTAAAAGTAGTAGTGGTACAGACAGTGGAGATGACAGTACGTCAAATATATAAACTTATTATGAGTATAAAATAATTTTTCCTCTTTTTTTAGTTTATATCGAGACGATATTATACATTGTGCATGTGGATGACATTGAAGACGAGAATAATAATAATAACAGTAATAATGACGACAGTACTACACAATTTTCAAAACGAACGACAGCCAGTTTTAATGAAAGACACCTTGTGTCTCGTCGAAATTCCGAAGCAGCACGTTATTCATTTACAAATCCATTAAGAAAATTAAATAGTAATTATGCAGTTAAATCTACAATTCTTTCAAAAATGTCGTTCTGAACAGAACCATAGAGTATGCATGATATTCATCAAATTAAAACATTTTATTCAAGTGGAATTTGTTTGAATTCTGCTAGATCATCTAGTGTAATGAGAGAGATTGTAGGCAACAACTCTTTAATATTTTAAACGTACTTTTTTCAAATTCATGTTCTTTTCAACAGTTTCTTGTGTAGCGATTCTAAAAGGTGTATAACTTTTTATTGCTTGTACTTTTTTGTTTTTAGACATCTTGCATTTGAAAAACGATAAAGCGACTCAAAGTCCCTCAAATCACGTTATACAACAATTGCTATCACCTAAGACAAGTGGTAGTTCTTATTTCCTCTCATTGTTCTCCACTATGCAATCTTGTTTTTACATTTATAGAAAAATCAACTCTATTTTCGACTAGTACAGCTAAGAACTTGAATCGTGTATCATCTCATCGGTTTTTTAATCGATTGATACAACAGCCTGATTTATCCATCGTTAAATATGACGATAAAGAACAATCCACACTAAATGAAAGCTGTGAACAAGCGGAAATATATGCAGAAGGCACTGGTTTACAACATGGAGATGTTGATGAAACTTGTGGGTATTTTCTGAGCAAAGTGAAATGATTATCGTTCCGCTCGATTTTCTTTTCTAGGTAAGTTCGATATTCATGCACCCGGTGCAATGTTAAATCAGTTAATTATTGCTATTGATGGCCCATCGAAAGCAGATATCAATATTGAAGTTATCGGATATGGAATTTATCGTGTTCACTATAAATGTCAAGTAGTAGGTAAGATATATTCTGCTATTACTTGAACAACTACAAGCAGGACGAATCACAGTTAAATACATAATATGCGGTTTCTTTCCTAGGATATAAATAGCACGTATGATAGAATGATTTGTGATTTCCTAGACTTAGTCTTAAGTGGAAAAATTAGTAGTGTTGAAAAAGCTCGTTAAAATGCTGACAAATGCTTATATAGAATAAATGCTTTTTCTTCCTTGTTTAATTTTCTATACATTCTCGTTTAGTGATAGCATTTCTTTTGCTAACATTGGCAAACATTTTAACCAATGACGAATATAATTTTGTCAGTCGCTTCATTGACACTGAGAATATCAGCTGGATTTCACTGACTTTTCAGTTACTATCAAGTATTTTATACAGCTTTTTTTCTTAGGCCGTTATACCATTAGTATCACATATAATGGTAAAAATATTCGGAATTCACCGTACAACATAAGATTATCGAAACAAGATCCAATTTCACTTCCATCTCCTTTACAAGTGATTCCAAGTGTCGATATTTTTCCAGTTAATTGTACATTTGAAGTAAAGATGTTTTACTCATTTCTTATTTTAACTTCAAAATATATTTCTTGATTTAGGTTGATTCAACTTCGTTAGTCATTGTTCGACCAGCTGTCTCATGTGCCATATTTCAAGCTCAAATACGTACGCCGAATGAACATAATTTACCGATTACGGTACAAAAATCAAGTAAATCAGGTAATTCTTTGATATACATGTACCACATTTCTTTCACTCTCAATTTTCTTCTCTATGTTTTGATTTAGAATGTTACGAAATTCAGTTTCTACCAAATGAAGTAGGAATTCATTGGTTACATTTGACGATAAATGGTATTGAAATTGAAAATAATCCCATACTATTGACTGTCACTACATCCGAAACTGAACACCAAGAAGAACAAAATCGTTACTCATTAGCTAGTGGACAAGGTTTATTTCATGCCTATACCGGTATAAATAAAATATATTAAATAAAAATTGGTATGCTGCAATGTCCGAATGGTTAAGGAGTTGGCCTAGAAATCCAATGGGATCTTCCCACGCAGGTGCGAATCCTGCTTTCAGCGCACTGATTTTTTCTTTTTTCTTCCGATTTTCGTATATGTAGCAGCAGGAAAAAAAGAGCTGAATATCCTCCTGCATTATTATAAACAGTAGGCGGTCCAACCAGAAGTGCAGAATACATCCATTGACTTCGACGACCTTCGCTGAAGATGTTTTAGACAAACTTTAAAAAAATAATATTACATTTTCCCTGCAAAAAAATTGCAGAAAAAAATATTCTGACGCTACTAAGGATAGGAGTTTTAGGGGTTAGGATAGGAGGTTAGGGAAGTTTTTCATTCTACAAGTAGATTCTGCATCACTGGTACTAACTAACTTCTGTTGAAAACATCTGTCGATGGTTGAGTGTTTGAAAGAAGTTGTAGGGAACAACCATTGTTTTTGTCTTAAGGGGAAGAGAGCGAATTTTTTGTTTCAAAATGCCATCACAATGGAGAATGTAATGGTTCATTTTCTGTTGGTATAAGTGGTCCAGCAACAGTGCATTTAGACGCCAATGAAATATTAAACGGCTATGAATTTCATTATAAACCAACTGTCAGTGGTAAATATATAATTACAATAAAAAATTGTGGCATACATATCAAAGGGAGTCCATTTGTTTGTCGAGTTTATGGTAAAAAATGTCTCAAATAAGAATGAACAGTCTAATACTTTTTATATGTTTTTTTTTTAGATAAACTAGATGAAACAGGAACAGAAACTCTGACAACAACAACCACACCCAAAGATCGCCTATTATCGTTGACAAGTACAGAAGATAATAACAATACAACACTCAAATCATCGTCATCAATAATTAAACAGCAACCATCGTCAGATATTTTACAAGAAACAGAATTAAATGCTCTAACATCATCAATGTTATATGATTCAACACAAGTGTCCGTATTTGGACAAGGATTATACGAAGCAAAGTTAAAAAAGAAAGCGAAATTTCATGTCGATGCAAGCAGAGCAGGTACGTGAATAAAAAGAAATTATATCAAAAGAAGAAAACATTGCACATTCACTGAAGTTTATAAATCTTCTAGTTTATTTATTGTTTATATTCAAGGTCGAGCTATGCTTTTAATTGGCTTGTATTCTCCGTGGTGTTCGTGCGAACGAATGATTGTAAAACATATTGGAAATAATATTTATAAAGTGAATTATCGTCCAAAATTAAGAGGACAGTATATGCTATCAATTCTTTGGGGACACAATAATCATGTGCCTGGTAGTCCTTTCTTGATAAATGTTGAATAGATATTCTCGTTTGTTTTTTGGCTTCAAGAAAAGTGTGTTATTGTGAATGTAATGATTTTAAAAGTTTTTGTTTATTTTCTTTTTCTCTTTACAGTAGTTAATCGAAACTAAAAAAACCGTGTGCGTGAATGTTATTTTTTAATCATCTTTTTGTTACTGTTAGATCCGGTGCTCGAAATGATGTTATTGTGACTGTAGATATTTTTTTTTATTGATTTCGTTTCTTTGTTTTCTTTTCTTTTTATTGTTTTGCTTACTGTTGTTATTAGTCTGAAAAACGATATTTTTTTGTTATTGAATTGAAAAAATATGATGAATATGATACTATCTGATTTGGAAGTAACAGTTTTAGACTTGAGCGTGTGTGTAGGTTTTGCATGTAAATGTGTTCACTTAGTTTTACGCTGTACAAATGAAATTAATCATGAAAACTTAATAAAACAACGAACAAACTCTTTGAAATAGAGACATATCAGTTTGAGAGAAAGTTTTTCTATAATTCGGATATTATTGTTCTATGAAACACTCGATTGTAGGACGTGTGCTTCTTTAAGTCGATTTGTATTGAATATAGTGTATAGGAGATGAAATGGAAATGTCATGTTTTATACTATTTCTCTACTACTTTTGGAACATCAGATTTCCAAGTTTTCTTCAAGCATCGGGCAGTCCTGTCTCAAGCCTTATTATCTCAGATGGAGTATTGTCAACAATCTACTTTGAATATATATCCCATTCAGGATATCGGTGTATCCTGATTGGACTATATTATCGCACATGTTAAAAAACTATTTAAAATATCTGGTTTCTTACTACCCGTTTGAAATAAGACTTAAAAGTCTCAATTAGGAAGTTTAAGTGGAGCGACCATTCTGAAATATTAGTATTCTTAACTACTGTCTTCAGGCTCTCCTATTTGTAGGAAAATTTCACGTGAAATTTCATCGAGTTTTTATATATTATCCAATGCATATGATCCATCCTCATGAAATCTAAATCAGTTTTGAATCATCGTTCGAATGGCGTAGTTTTCTTTCAGCTCCAAATAGTAGTTTCGAGGAGCCAGGATCAATATGAATTGACGTAGATAGTCTCTCCTTGAAGCTACTGTTTGGAGCTAAAACCTCGAATGCCATTATCCGGTTTTTGTTACGATAAATCAAAAATGATTGATCAATTTTAAAGACTGATCGTGATTTTATCCTAAATAGACATGATGAGACTGTACTATCGAATAAAAACATGAATAAAACATTTGTAATGTTACGATCGAAAATTCATAGCTCGAAACTTTTCAACAAACAATTAGCTTTCCTTCAAACAACGACCTCTTCAAAATTGCTCTCTCAAGGAGCGTTTTGCGACCAATCGCGCGGTTCACTGGATTCTATATAAACACATATTTTGACGGTTAAAATCTCATGATTATTAATTTTCTAGATAACCCTCCAACTTTTATTCATGTTTGCAAATATATATCGTCAGCATTCCGAGCGTACTGCCAATCTGAAACAAAAGCAAGGTAAAAAAGTATCAGAAATAAAACTATTCTAATGTATTTTTATATTTCAGAAAAAACTCGAAAAGAATTTTTAAATAGTTCTGATCAGTTTACGCGTCATGTAATTGATCGCTTAAACGATGAGTAGGTTTTTCTTGCATGTTTCGTATTTCGTTGTAATCGTTGACTTCCTTATTCTAGTGTTGCCGAATGCTATGTAAATGAAAAAAAGATCGATACTGCCACTAAACAACTTACAAATCAATCGACAGTACTTGTTAAACAATCACAAGCGTGGATTCAGTTGATAGATCAATTTACTACAGCTGTTAAAGTAAGTGGTAGATAATAAGCACTTTCAAAATATTTTTTTATGCTTTATTCTTGTTGTAGGAACTCGGTGATGTTGAAAATTGGTCAAAAATAATTGAAAAAGAATGTCTGACAATTACATCAGCATTAACAAATGTTCATAAAGATTTGACAATACAATAGCTCTTGTAAAGTTTGCTTTTATTAAAAATATATTAAATTCTTAAAATTGGGCTCTTCGAAAGTACAGCTTTCAGTGTGAGTAAAATGAGGATAAAACGTTTAAACAGTAGAATAAGAGTATGATATCAAAAGTGAAAAAACGCTAGACTTGATAAGAGCTTGGAATAAATTTGTTTGTCGAGACGAATTCCACTTTGTCGACTAAATTTCAAAACTCTCATACAACATGTTGGACTATAAAATGGTTTCTCACAAATTCAAAGTTGGAATTGTTTTTTATGAGCATAGATTAATCGATTTAGAGCTTTCTAAGGTAAGTCACTTTTCTAAGGTAACTCACTTTTTTTACTGTGCGCTCAAGAAAAACACTTGTTACTATGAATCTGATACATATAATTTGATTTAGAAATGGGAGAAAATTTAATTAAATGAATAATCTGTTTTACAGCAGCTTTGAATAACTCATACAATTGTTCCACCAATATACGAATCTGTGCAGTCAGAACATTTAATTTCGTACAGCAGGTGTGATTGCAGATCTTTGTTGATCATACCTTTCTTCGACACAATAGTTGAAATAGGAGGCAGTGGTCGTTGAATTGGCTGCACATTTAGATTCTGTCCGTTGAAATATCAATCTTTTCTACCACAGCATTACAAAGTGTCCGCTATTAGCTCCATGGCTTACAGATGTCTTCGTATTTGTTCGTCGTACCAATTAAGACACGAAGAATTGAAATACATTAGAAACTTGCTTAGTAGAGTGGTTATCCAAAATCCTTTGTGTATAACCAGATAAGAAAAACTATGACGCGGTACATAGAGAAACCAAAGAAAGTGATTGATACTAAGCCCAAGATTCAATTGAACAAACTGCAAAATAGTGAACAAGTCTTTGTTGATTTGCCTTTCATTGGTAGAGCTACAAAGTCCTTTGGGAAGCAAACCATTGAATTGAGGGAATTGAAACAAACCATAAAGGGCTAGTAGTGCATATCGTTTGCATATACCATGCGTATATAGGATGCAAAAATATGTGTTCTCACGTTTGCTGTAGTAGTTTCACTTCATAACTTTGTATTTCATTTTGATAATAACTTTTCAAAAGTCGAAACGTCGACAATAAATTGTTCAAACGACAGAGTATGTCTGAATTATTCAAACCTGCTAGAGAACAGATTATTCATTCAATCTGGTACATAATTCGTCAATTTGACGTATGAAAAAGCCATGGATTGTAGAGAATTCATTTTGCGTACGAACATCAGGTGTACATTTTCACATTATCTGGAGATTCAAAATTTTTCATGAAAGACTAAAATCAGATGTAAACTAGTTCAATAGTGTTGTATCTTTTCGCAACATTTCGATGGTTCGATCCCAAAGCTTTCGATTGGATTTCAAGAGCTTGCTGATAATATGTCAATACTTGAGAATATTCGCCTTCATTACTGTAAACTAGTCCAATATTGTTGTATGTTTTTGCAACACTTCGAAGGTTCGATCCCAAGATCTTCAGTTTGATTTCCAGACCTTGCAGGTAATATGTCCATGCTTGAGAGTACTCGCCTTGAGTATTATAAACCAGTCCAATATTGTTGTACATTGTTACAACACTTGGATGGTTTGATCCCAAAGTCTTCAGTTTGATTTCAAGAGCTTGCTGGTAATATGTCCATGGTTGAGAATATTCGCCTTCATTACTGTAAACTAGTCCAATATTGTTGTATGTTTTTGCAACACTTGGAAGGTTCGATTTTAAAATCTTCAGTTTGATTTCAAGAGCTTGCTGGTAATATGCCAGTGCTTGAGAATGTTGGCCTTGATCATTGTAAACTCTATCAATCTTGTTGTAAAGCGGACCCATATCAGGGGCGTTTGGCAACGTATCATTTATCAGTCTTCTGAAATATCGTTCGGCTTTGGCGTATTCACCAGTTTGTGTTAATAGAAGTCCCAACATGTTTTAATCGGATGCCCCAGCAGTTTCTTTTCTTATCTGCTCACTCAGCACTTTCATCTGTTCATCATTGTCATTGTTTAGCATCAGTTTTACACTCCAAATTTCCGTTTCAGTTTGTTTTTCGAGAGATTCTATTCGAAATATGGTCCCTATTGAAAAAATTACTTCATCTTCGTTCTTCATAAAGCTTAGTTCTTTTATAGTAGCATAAGGTTTTGTATCAGTGTTCGTATTAATTCATATTTTAAATAGAATAGATGCAAGAATGGGACTCATCGAACCGTCCCCAGCAAGAAGTGACGCTACATCTTTCTCATAGGTTGTTGATATGAAAGTATTCATTGAAATCAGTCGGCCAACATTGTCTTTTAGCTCTTGTAGTTCATCCGCTTTTAAATACTGTCCTCGAAACACCGTTAGAAAGCATTCATCATCCGTGAAACATTCCAGGAATTTCGAATGTTGTTTTTTGCAATTGTCGATAAAAATCAGCTATGAAAAATCGAAATTTAAATATAATATCAATATCTCGTGTTCGAAGAGCTTTACTTAACAGATGATATACAAATGAATCATGCGTGCCACAACACGGCTGCATCAGATGAATAATTCAAATCAAAATCATGTAAGTTTTCGAGTTCTTTATCATTGTCTCTACAATATGATTCATATTGGGTTAACATTTCCGTTTTCGATTCGTCAGATTTTGGCATAGGAAGTAGAACATCCATTAACAATTGATTCCATATAAACACAGCGCTTTCTTTGTCTAAACCACGAATTGATTTTTCATTGTGAGACAAATTAAATACATTCATTGGCATCATGTCTTTTGACAAAACTTTAGCATTCTCAGCTATCTAAGAAGAGAGTCTTTATGAGTAAAAACACCACGAATTTTATTTTGATTGTTTAGTTGATGATTAGCCCATGTTTCGTGCTTAATTTCGTTTAGACAAAATATGTAGATAGATGTAATTTGAGGTAGTTCGAAAATGAGAGAAGCAATGATTTCACCAAATGAACTGGATAGAATTAGTAACACTTGCTCGACTTTAATTGATGAGATATAATCGATACATTCATCAACATCACAAAACGTTGTTAAATGATTAGCAATGGGTCTTAAACGCTTTTTTGTGCTGTGGCAATCATCTGTTTTATTTATATCAGCATCAAGCCAAACAACAGTAAAATTTTCAAGATTGTGGTCTTTATCGTGGAACAGACGTATCGCTGGTTCTTGAGGAAACATCGTTGTCGTTACCTAGAATGTAAAATGAGAACAGCTGAATGATTGTTGAACTGAACTGAACTGAATTTTTATTTTTGCAAGCATGGTTATTGCAAAGAAAGGCTAGCTTATGCTAATTGTAATATTTCGAATATACTTCTAAGAATATGCTATTTATGTAGGCCTGTGTCACACTGCTTGTACTTCTTCCAGTCATGATGTGCTGAGAAAAAAATTTGGGTGGTAGAGGATGTAAAGCTGACTCTTAGTATGAACGATTCATTGGGGCGATCTCATTCGAATGAAATTCATGTGTTCTAATCCAACAATCTTTAGGTCTAAATCAATAATCGAGTAAACCGTCGAATTCAGTCGAGAGCTAAGCTTCAGATTATATTAAGAACTGGTATCGGAAACAAAATGCATTAATTAGTCATTATCTCGACAAGAAAGCATCATTTCACCGTTCTTATAAAAATAAAAACGTGAGGAATTAGGAAACACTTTTTGTATTATTAGTCAAACTGTACCTAGTTATGGTTCTCATTTGCTGAAATCGGATAAACTGAGAGAACGATTTTCTGATGAAAAATCACATTTTCAGTACCGATTTGCTATGGGCCAAATATGAATGCAAAGTCTTTGGAACATAATTGTAAGAGAGGCAGCGCGTCCTAGCAGCGAGTTTCAAGTTGGATCAGACAAATTCGCTCGGTTAATTGTTTTCGGTCTATTGAACAAGTTAATGAAGATAAATTGTTCGATGTAAATCTTAATTTTCTATTTCTAATTCGATATGAATCTTTAATTATTCTTATTAAGGATACACATATATCCTTGAAAAACGTATGTATGCCACTATAATTTCTATGCCTTATTCACGCAAAGGTAACTATTAAATACATTCAGAATTGGTTCACGTTTCAGTGATAACATGATTGGAAAATTTTGTTTATTTTCGTTTATTACATAGATTAAGTATATCCTGAGCCAGAGGTGGCGGAACCACTAGGCTGGGTAAGGCTTAAGCCTTACCCGGATTTGGCTCTGTTAGGCTGAGCCTCACCCCATTTTGATGTAGAATTTTGTATTTAGCACTATGTTATTTAGATAATACTTGGCTACATTGACAGAAAGACCTCATTTATCTGAATAAAAGATCAAAAGACGTTTGGCTGCGTGTATTAAACTCTGCTTTTTTTCAGTGATCTTAAACGCAGAGACTAACATGAGATATGTGCAGTGAGGACAGAGGACTGAATCAGGATAAAATGTTAACTTTTGGCATCAGAAACGCCAAGAAACCTCTAAATATATATTGTCTATTTTGTACAAAATAACGTAGTGATCCTTTAACCATATAGATATGCCACGTTTTTCAAACAAATTTACTTTGATTAGTCTAGTGCAAACTTTATCCGTTTTTCGGCCTTTTTGCTAGGAACGTCGCTTTTTTTGGAGTCTGAGTAAAAACAGCTTGGATTCATGGAGCTCGAGCTGACATTTTATTTTGACGAATTGAACTCAAAAAAGTATTTCCTTGTTTGCTTCTCAGGTCGACGAAAACTGGCATTTAATTGTCCATTAACAGCCTGTTAACTGTATGTCAAAAAATAGCCTGTTAATTGTGTAAAAATCGAATGAAAATTGTCATTTACCAGCCATCACAATGAAAATTTTTTGACTTTGAAATAACGGTGAAAATAATGCCAGATTATAGGCAATGTCTGAAAAATTGTCATTTTACGGACACCATTAAATGGCATTTTCGTCCATTTATTAGACCGCGTTAACTAATGCCAAATAAATGTGGTCGTTAAATGTCTGTTTTTTCTCTCAAAAAACTGGTCATAAAATGGCATTTAACAGCCAATTTATGGTCACGAAGTCATTCACCGTTTTATTCTGCCGTCATGAATAGTATAACTGACTCTGATTTTCTTAAAATAATTTAAAGTGTTTCTCTTCTTCAATTATACGAGTCATAGAAACTTGCCTCGAAGAAGTGGTCTGTGGTCCTTGACTCGATGCAGGTGATAGTACCTCAGGCTCAGAAGATATTTTTTTGACATTTTCTAACGGTCTAATAATTGATATTTAAATGGCAAAAAAATGTGACCAGTAGGGCTACTGGCAGCAGTTAAATACCTGTTTTTGACATTTAAAAAAATGTGAAATAAATGCATTTAAACGTTCCCAGTTATAATGGCAAAAAACGGCCTAAAAACGGGGTCAAATGTCATAAAAATGCCATTTAAATGCTTATTAACAGCGTATTAAATGGCATTTAATTGGCAATTAATTACACCGTTTTCGACGTCCTGGGTTGCTTGTTCTTGTTACGAAAACTTTTATTACGGAAAATTGCACTTTCTCGAAAAACTTTCTAAATTTGCTGCTTTTCTTACTGCGAGCCTTACCCCGTTTGGGAACGTTCCGCCGCCTCTGTCCTGAGCACAAAAACTGAAGAACGACACTTGGCAGAGATTATGAAAAGCATTAGACTTATACACTACTTTTACTAAAAGCTGTTTCGGTTGATTTATTCATGACCCCGTTCATTCTGCCATGGATTTTAGAAATGAACTGAAAGGGACCATTTTGATTAAAATCAATAATAAGTAAGGCACCGGTAATTCAAAGTTTCACAAATTTTATTTTTACCTTAAACATACGTTTCTAGATTCAGAATAAGCTGTTGATCACGAATATCGCATAATTTTTTCGATTTCACAAAGTTTTCACGGAGAAAAACGCAAAATACTGAGAAGCTCTCAAAATCGTCATCAACCTTAGCTTTGAGAAAACTGCGTTTTTCTCCTCACCACTTCACTTTTCGATCTCACCAATGTGATTTTCAAATTCTTCATGTAAAAGTGGATCTGTGCATGTGGCCTAGAGCCTGATCGCATATAACGTATCGGACCCGGAAATCCATAAGACTGAATTACTGCGTTGGCGCTACCGAATTTTGCAAATCTATCTAGTTTTTTCGGTCAAGACATAGCGTCTTCATCTTACGCCATTGGAATCGCCATCTCGCGCGCAACAAACTAATGTTTGGTTTTTTTAATATTACTTCCCTATGCTAAGAAAATTCGTTTTTTCTAAATCTAAATTCTAAAAGAAAAAGTTGGAATTTCGCCCGTGATTCTCAATCTTCTCCTTCAGAACTCAACTTTTGAGCAATAAAAATCTCGGTAATTTTTCAACGCAAAAATTCGAAAAAAATTAAAGGAGTTAGATAGGATAGACATACACATCAATCGACTCTTTTACCCTGATTGAGGCAACTGTGTTTTTTTACTCAAGGATCTTCGTGTTGGTATTTCACGCTTTACAGTACAGTACAACTTAGTTCACCTTCCAACTTCAGAGAAAGCCATCTGTTTGAGCTCTCTTCCTTCTTCGGACTTATACATGCTTTACAAAAAGCAGGATTTTGCAAATACCATGTTTTCTTCCGTCTTTTGTTACTACTGTTAGTTTTTCCCGATACACATCATCAACTTGGGATCTACGGTTACGCCTTACCTTTCGAGATACCTGACTATGAACGTCTACCAGGCTATCATTATACACTGGAATGCTCAAATTCTGATATGCTTATATTCTGAAACGCTTATATACTGGAATGTTAAAACAATTGTCAATTACGGTTTAAGATCAATAATTAACAAAAAATGTCTATACATGCGGCTAAAATAATCGTTATAACACAATATCAATTTTCTATTAAACACCGTTGGTGGAGAGATGCTAAGTTGAGGACGGTGGTGATGGATGGGCGGTGCTGGGGGTAAGTGTGATTAGGGTGAAGGGATTCGCTATACTGCGATGATTAATAGGCAAATTCAATAGTAAGCACCAGGGCTCGAAACAGGCCGACAATTTTGAGGCCTGATATGCCTGCGTCAGGCCTGTAATGTTTAGATCTACCTGGGCCTGTCGAAATATTTTCTGGGTCTTGCCTGCCTGCCTGTCATTGCTCTCGACCTATCCTGGCCTGGTCTGTAGATGCCTGGTAACTTTTTTAATAAACAAAATGCACAAGAAATAGTAACATAAGACGGAAAGAAAAGTGGCAGATAACTAAACAATATATCTAAGTAAGAAAATTTGGTTTTTGTTTAAATACCAATGACAATCCTCATTTTTTCCTATATAGTTTCACACTGTGAAATTCCCATGTCGTAACGACATCTACAGCCCAAATGCTAAATTATGAATAAAAATACGCAAATTTCCCAGGCTAGGCCGCCTAGTGTTTTCAAACGTCTGCCTGAATCTATTTCAGTCTAGTCCTGATCTGCCTTAGCCTGGTGCAAGCGAATAGTTTGTAACCTGACCTGGTTCGAGCCCTGGTAAGCACGTATTCCTGCTGCCTAAAAATACAGAAATCTCAGTAGCCAACAACAGAAGAAACAGTTTGGTAAGTACCCATTCTATCGATGTACTAGGTAACACGCAGCTCCTCCGCCAGAATAAACCTAGAGGTTCAAGTAGTAGAATAAAACCTTGCTTAGGAATAGACCTACCTGAAAAGAAGGAATCAACCTTCGAAATAAGAAATGATGGGCCATTACTTCTTCTTTCACTGTATACCTAAAGGCGAGATATAACACTTGCTGCTAGTGGATTTATCTATCTTCTGCTTTCCTTTTTTTAATAGTCACAACAATCTCAATTAACAGTAACTGGAATTATTCTTCAATGCTACGTCTTCTTTTCACTAACAAATTTTCCTTTTGTTTAAAAGTTATTATACGTTTTTTTCGTAATTTCCTACTTTCGCCTCTCTCGCAAAAGAAAATTCCCTTCTTAACAAAACCACATTCTTCTTTCAATTAAATTTCTCTACAAAAACAATTGACGCCGCACAACTGAATATACGAAAAATTTCAAAGTCCAAAATACATTTTTGTTTCACTTCTGGCGCTTACGCTATGGAATCTGGACCTTAAGGTGACATAAGAATGTGCACTGATGAATTTCCAATGTTAGGAGATTATCCTCCCGTT